CAACACACACACACACACAGAGACACACAAACACTAACGCTGGCGCAATTTTTTTGAAACTACATACACATGCTGTGATAAAGTTTGCTACGTACAAGCGAAATTACATTTATGCGAGGGACGGGGACCTGTTGCGTCATGTTTAGCTTGTCATACAGGTGCTTCTGTGGCAAATGTGAGGAGATGGCTAACATACAGAACAACAACATATATGCAGTTTTTAATACAATATCTTTAAATATATATTTATAAACGTGTGGTTACACACTATACAAACAAGGTTTAAATTATATAGCCTACACAGACATCCTACGACGACAACAACTTTAGACGCATTTGTTGTTGAATTGGCTGACATTGACTGAAAAGACTATTTGCTCAAAAATCATAAAACACACTTACTGTTACTGGATGTGACGGTGGATCGCAAACAGTAGACGACGATCCACACTTGAGGATTAATTTTTAAGCCACAACAGGATTAACCCACGAGTCCACAACAGAACATTTATGTTTCCAAGAGACATTACCGGCTGTCGTTGAAACAATGGAGGATGATGTGTACAGATCACAGAGGGCGGGGTCTAGGCCACAGCCACACTGTCAATCAAACCCCTTGCTCACTTTCTACGTCACAAAGAGCTGAATCTCAGAACAGCTCGTTCTGACACAGTGCACATGATTTATTGAGATTGAAAAAAAACCACTGGGTGGATTTTTATCATTCCAGGGTGGTTTTGCTCACACACTGCCAACACACATTTATGTTCAAACACCATGTAAAAGTGAATTTTCCATAATAGGTGCCCTTTAAGGGTAGCCTACCTTTACTTAATTACTAAGTAATAAAATAAAAACATTGATGAGCAATACATAACATGTGCTAGACAGATTTTGTGTTATGAGTGTATGTTTTTTTCAGCAGAAACAAATAAATACATTCAAATAACACTCCGTGCTTCACCTTTTCCCTGCTCTTCTGAACAGGGACAGAAATATCTTAAAGAGTCACACAAAAAAAAAATTAAGCACCAGTTAGTTCTCAGTTCATTTATGAATGATAATGTATAGGTTTTAATCAAGTGACTTTTTGCAATGTAGGTTACTTTTATTTTTGCACTGTTTACCATTTCTAAAGCTATATATATATATTTTTTCAAATAAATTAAAGAGATTGTGTTAAATTCTTAAACTAAATTCATGAATTAATATTAATCATGTTTAAAATTATGTTATATGTTTTAATTTAGATATGCACTAAGAATGCAATGTGCCAAAAAACGAAAGAAGAAGAAGAATCTAAATGTTTGCTTATATGCAGCGTGCATTTGAAGTGTTTTAATGCACGTGCCCGTAAACATTCGAGTCGCATGGAAAGACTGGAGCGCGCGGGTGAGAGAGCTCGGGCCTGTTTCAGAATGGAGGTTAAGTGAAAATTCTGTATGTTAACCCTGAAATGAGGGAAACTCTGGGTTTTCCATTTCAGAAAGGGGGGGTATATCAAACCCGAGAAAGCAGAGTAAGTCAAGCCCGTTTCTGAAAGAGAGGTAACTTATACTCAGAGTCAGTTACCATGGTAACTTACTCTGTGAACCTAACCTGGTCGGGAGCAGGTTTTCTTCAGTAAACCCAGAGTTTCTTGCGGTCTCCTCCCCTTTTTTAAAGAGGAAGTGCTGTTTAAACACCAACAATAATACTAAAATGTATTTACACATTCTTTAAGGAATATATATTGTTTCTCCATGGTTTAATTGACTAAATCTGTTTTGCAATACTTTGCCAAAAAATAAAAGGATTAAAACGTTTGCTAAACTTTTATTTGATTACCACCAATTTTGATGATATAGTTGATGATATAGTGGGCGTGGGAGTCCCCCACGCCACGCCCACTGTTAAACAAGTTACTCAGCAACTTTTACTCATGTTTTAATTTAACTACTTTTTACTTGAGTAGATTTTTAGACTGGTATTTTTACTTAAGTAAAAATGTATCAAAGTAATAGTAGCCTACTTTAGGTTGAATAACATTCTTCCACTTTCACCTCTGATATTATAATAGTAAGTTACTCTAAAATAGTTATAAATTATTAACAACAAATGACATCTCCAATGGTGTAGTTAGATTATTGAAATAATTACTATCTCTAGAAAGTATTGGTCTACATATTACTAATTGCTAAATCCTATATCAACCTCAACTACTTGATTAATACAAGGAGGAGAGACAAGAAACTGCACTTTTAATTCTTTCAAATTAACAATATACAATTGCATGAATTATTCTAGAATTGATCAATGTGTGTAGAGGGAGAAGGTTACATTAAAAAAATATACCTTTTAAAAATGTATGTTAAATCAACTATTGTTTTATACTGAATTGGTCTATAGTTTATGCAGTAGGGTTGCAACGGTATGAGATTTTCACGGTATACATGATAATCGTCTCAGAAAATATCACGGTTTCACGGTATACGATATTAAACTATCATTATTGTTATAATCATCATCAGCTACAATGATCCTTAAATGAATAAAAACAGATATGGTTTTTGGTTGAACATGGTTTATTGTAACAAACTTTTTTATGAAAATAAGAAAACTTGGAAGTATGAATCTACCTTTTGGAAGAAAAATAAAAATAAAGCTGAACATCTCCCATTTGAACAAAATAAGGAATAAGTTATTTCTCTTTATATTTGACAACAATAAACAAAACTGTCCTTCCTCTTTAATATGGGAGAGAAAAATGTGCTGGGTCATGTTAATATTTTCCTGAGATTATCATAGCAGCCTGCATTTCTATGCTTTTTTCAGGTCAGGTTATGATGAAGAAATGTAAGCATGTTGAGATTTTCAGGGCTCATTCTTGACCTCTGAGGTGAGAGAATGTGTCCACTTGTACTAAACATCCTCTCCGAAGGTACACTCGTGGCAGGGACACAAAGATACTTTCTGGCCACATTTGCCAGAAGAGGCATTTCATCAGCATGCATTTTCCACCATGCCAGTGGGTCAGTGTCCGCGCTGATGCTTGGAAGAGACTTGTACATCGTCATTTCAGACATCACCTTTTCACTGACATTCTCATTTCCTGAGGTTGCCTTGTTCTGCTTAGATGAAGTGATTCGCTGTAGCAAACCAGATAGACTTTTCTGTTTCTTTTTAGTGTTGGTGGTGGTAGTGGTAGTTTCCTGCTTCTGCCCAATTTTCTCCTCTTTCTGCTTGAAGATGTTCTCTATCCAAAGGAACTTTAGCAAGATTCACAGCTTCTTCCACACATGCCTCAACTGTGTCATCCAGGTTTTTACAGAAGCTTCCCTTAAATCGGGCATCCACGAAGCTGGAGATTTGTAGCACTCGTTCCACCTGTTCTGTGTATCTCCCTTGCAAGTCTTCTCTCATTACTTGCTTCATCTGTCTGATTAGTAGATTGTCTTCAGCTTGCTCAGAGAGGATTTCGCTGCAAATGTGCTCCAGTACCGGTGTGAGTGAGGACAGTGTGACCCGTTTCTCCGATGCCAGGGTATCAGTGAGGTCATAGAGTGGTTGAAGGAGCTGATTGACATTCTCAAGAGTGGCAATGTCACTATCTTTTGGCATGAAATGCCATGTACTTCTGTCACTAGCCAGGACTGCACAGACAGCTTGTTGTTGCTCCAGGAACTAGAGATCATCTCATAAGTTGATCCCCACCTTGTTACCACGTCATGGATGAGGGCATGCTCAGGGAGTTCCAGGTCTGCCTGTTTTTTTTTTTAATTCTCTTTTCCTTTTCCAACTCCGAGAAAATCCTTGAATCAAGTGTCTGCATGCTCTTACTGCAGATTCAACCCTTTGGATCTTCAAGGCTTTGCTAATGGCCAGATTTAAATTGTGACCAAAACAAGTGAGCCAAACACATGGGAACTCTGCAAAGGCTAGCTGATCTGTGGCCTAACTAGTTCATTCACTGAACCATGTTTCTCCAGGTTTCCACATCAGCGCTGTTTGATCCATTAATAACAAAGAAATTGTAATGTTTCTCGCTAGGTCTCACAGCGATGTTATTACTTCAGTGGCAAATTCAAATGCGTCCTTTATTGGATCTCTTAGCACTGTGTATTGACAGTGTAGCTTGATTAAGATCGGCTCGCGCTGCACTGACATTGGTCCAAACTAGGGGTGGGAATCTCTAGGCACCTCACGATTCGATTCGATTATGATTCAGAGGACTGCGATTCGATGCTAAAGCGATTATCTGAATCTTTTGTGTGTGTGTGACTATAAATACTTTGCTTTAAAAGTACAAAGTAATGACCCATAATAAATTAACGTACAATATATTTTATTAACATTGTACAAAACCAACAGGAAAAATAAATGTGTGCCTGAACTAGGAGCATACTTGTAGTAAGTTAATAATACACTGCACTTCCGCGCTTCAGAGTTCGGTCTTTCGTGTTTTGTCAATATTACGTTATTATAAATATTTATCTTTTTTTTTTGAAAACTTTTTTGGTTTGAAAATCGATTTTTTTGACATTTTAGAATCGATTCAGAATCGTCCACGTTTTTTTCCCCCACCCCTAGTCCAAACTGATAAACTTTCCGTGAAACACAAAATGATACGTTTCGTTCCGCTTTCATTACGTTTTATATTTGATGTTGAGGAACGTTGTGGTGGTTTTTGGTCGGCAGGAAAAATGGTCCAACTTGTAATGGTCCTAGTTCTTACTATAGGGTAAGGTTGTGGATCGCATAGACGGCAATGTTGTCAAATCAATCTCCGTTCACACGGATCTGAGAAAATGACTAAAAACGCTGTATATGCATGCCAGGCCAGTAGTTGGAGATGCCACTTTGTAAAGAAACACTATGTGCATATAGACTGAACATGTAATATGCATGCTGTCACCGTTTTCACAAATTCGTGTTTTTGTAGTTTACAGAGACGATGATGGTATCGTTTCCTAAAAACTTGCGTTTTCAGGCCCCAAAACACCACTCTCATGTAAATGAATGGCCTGAAGAGTGTGGTGTGGTTTTGTGTATGTGTCTTTGGGACGTACGCTAACTCTCTAGTCCACAGATTGAAATACTGTTTGAGGTAGGTGACGTGATCTGGCTGGACTCCAGTGATGACAACTGCAGTGAAACTCTCCTTCCCATCTTCTTCAATCACAATAGACTGCAGAAACTGCTCATTGCTGACATTCACATGCGAGCAATCCCCAGGCTGCAAACAAAAACAAAACACACACACACACATATATTTAAAAACAAAATCCAGGAGCCAACAACGACATGAGATGGCTTGTATTTTCCTCACCTTCCTGTTTCTAATGAACCCAGAGTAAATATCTTCCTTTTTTAACTCCTTGCGCTCAAAGTCTTCTTTAGACATGAAAATTCATGAACATCTGGAGAGCCTGCAGGTTTGCTGATCATCTGAAACACACATTACAAGAATATTTCATTTAAAAAAATATATAATTTTAACATGTGATAAAAATCACTTCACTTCTGCCACAAAGCCATTGTATGGTTTCTGAAGCCCTGGAAATCAATGACGAATCTACTTAAAAATACTAACTATGCAACTTTTATAGTGCCCTTTTTTGGTGTTTCTCCCCTTTTTGAAGGTTGACCGCCATTTGTGAACATTTATTTTATGTAAAGAGATGCATAAGCATACAAATGTAGAGACTAACATGAGGGGGTCAACTATTCCTTAAATACACCATGTAAACTATAAAAAAAAAAAACGATTAATCAACAATTTGTAAAATCATTACCTGTTTTAAACATCCCATGGTTTGTTCAAGTTCAGCGTGAGCTTCCTGACTGTCCATGCAAACTCACAAACAATTGATAAAATTTTGCATAAAACTCTTATTTTTCACTGTAACTTTGCCTGGTTGATTTTAACTGAAGCATTCACGATAATGCAAAACTCATGCGTGGACAGTCAGTGAGCTTGAAATGAACAAAACTTGAAAACATGACACATATGACCGTTTAAACCAACCTGGTTTATGGATCATTTGAACAAAACTCTTTGCCATTGCTTAATGGACATATCTGTTCTGCTTTATTGTAAAGGAATGTAACAAATCTACTGTCTTAATTTGCAAGTATGATACTTGTTGAAAAAATGCATACAAACATACTCTGACAGACTGTCCGATGTAAAACACAGCCTGTTTGCCTCCGACTCCAAAATATGAGATGTCACTGTTCAGACTGCGTGGAACTGGACTTGGTCGCACATAACCGGGTTTGTCGCTGTGTGCACAACAAAGAGCAACTTTATCAAGGCAAACTTTATAAGACAATTAGTATTTGAATCTATGTCCGCATTTATATTACATTGCTCAAGTGACCCAATTCTGATTTTTTTCTTACAATATGGCATAGATCAGATATGACCCATGAACGTGTAAGCGTGAAAAAAGCACATAGATTACAATATACGCATTTGCATCTGCCATGTAAGCGGACTGATCGGATAAACCAATGGAGGTGAATGATGTCAATTCAGGTGGACATAAACCACAGCGGTTACAGCAATGTTTTCCCTGCCTTAAGAGACCAAGGTTTTGCTGACCTTTAAAAATGATGTGGAAAGCAAAAGCTTGCATCATCATTTTGCATGCGTCCATTGTAAAGTTCATCCTTTCTACTTCCTATTCGGCCTTAGCTTTTCCAAGTCAGTAAATCTATATTTGGTTGTTTAGCCAAGTGAATAGTGCAGATTTCGAATTTAGGTCACTTTTAAAAGAAGCTGGTAATCAAAAAAAATCGAATTTAGTCAACAAATCGGAATTGGGCATCAAGACCTGCAGTGTAAATGCGGGCTATAATAGGCATCATACAATGAGCACAGGTCAGCTGGATAATATTTCAGATATGAACCAAATAGCCTTGTTTATAACATTATAAGAACCAGCATGAATATATGTATGAGAAGTTTTGGCATTGCTCACATATCATGATAAAATAAGACAAATGCAGGTTTTATGAAGAGCACACCTTTGAACCGTGTCATTTTCTCGAATAAACTTTGACAGACGGTAAACGGCCCAGTTGTTCAACTGTTTAGATGTCATTCCACATCCATTATCTATCACCACGACAGCAGGTCCTCCCTGAGACTCATCGAAAAGCTGAAAAACACACAGAGATCAAAACATCTGGATCATGGAAACTAGTAGGTCAATGTGCAATAAGTGCCACAAAAAGTACATAACTGAATTATTCATTGAATAAGCCTGGCTTTTTTTTTTAAATAAATTGCTATTTTTATTTTTTTTTTCTAAACAACGTGCAGAAAAGTTACACTACTTTATAAGAGGTCTTGTTTTTTATGGCCAAATAAAGAATAAAAAATCTAAATTCTTTCCAGCACTATATATATATATATATATATATCATCCATACTTGAGCGAGCTGTCTGATACAGCTTTAGCTGTAATTAGTTATTTTGGGAGAGGAAAAATTAAGGGAGGAGTGTGTTTCTTTTGGTTAGCCGGAGTGTGTTTGAGTGTGAAATACCAACAGTTTTTTATTTCAGAAATTTCTTAATGAACATGAATGACTTCCAGTCACACCTTTATAACGTATGATACTGAGACAGTTCACAAGCTTTTTGTAATAAAGAGTGAGGGTCAGTGTTGAATTCTCACCAGTCTGATTTCAATTCTCCTGATTCCCGTGTTTTTTCCAGTGGCTGACAGCGCGTTATCAATGAGCTCAGCAAAAGCATAGGCTGCAACACAACAAAAAGAGAAACACAGCACACATGAAACTAACACCGTGTAGATCGGTCATGCCAATAAACAATAATATTGTGTATCGACGATAGCCCGAGATATCATCAAAAACATCAGCTATGGCAATATCAAGAGGATTTGGCATTTCCAATTAATGTATAAAATTATTGTTAGGCTATTATTATAATCAAAATTAAAATTACATTTCATTTGTCCCACCATAATTTCATAGGAAATCACTGCATACATGCTCTGCAAGGATAATCCAAGCTTGGATTAGCTTATTTCTCATTAAAACATTTTTTTACAGCATTTAGCCCTTCTATTACTGTAATCATCATTAATTCTCTAATGACTAGGCAGGTTCCAATGCTCATTAACACAGCGCCAATCACACCAGTTCCTAAAAAGCCTGGGTGTGATGCTGATACTTAAAGGAGAACTCAGGCGCAAAATGAACCTTTGGTCTAATTATTGAATGTAAAGAGTTTTATGGGGCATAGAGTAATGAAAAAAAATTGCTAGTTAATACCACTAACAAGGCTCAAAATAGCCCAACACTAACAAGGTAGCATAATCAGGATCCCTGCATGCAAAATGAAGCATTGAGAACTTTGTAAGTGTACAGACCGTTTAAAAAGAAGATATTTCATAAAGACAGTCTACTTTGCAAATGCAGGCAGGAGCCATCTTTGGAAAACAGTCTCGAGCAGTCGAACCACGAACGCCGAGCCAAGTGCGCATAGACTAGCATTATAAGCTAAACAGTTTTTAGTAGGGCTGTGAATCTTTGGGTAGACAGCGAATCGATTCAATTCACGATTCATAGGTTTTCGATTCGATTCATGAACGATTTGTGCAAATTCAGAACGATTCGATTCGATGCGATTCACATCCAAATTCGATGCGATTCGATTAATTCGATTCGATTCTTAATTTTTTATATGCATTATAGTATTATTTCAATGCTTCACCCATCTTTGTCTGGGTTTGAATTAGCCTACACAGCGGCCTTCGGGGATCAGATAGTGGGGATTTTGTCCATTGTTAATGTTAGTTTATGTTTGTTTTTAATTTTAATGAATATATTATTATAAAAAAATCAATGGCCTACAAATTAGCATTTGCAAGTAGCAAATATTTTGAAAAAGGCTTTAAAAGTATTGCATTAAATGACTACATGCACAAATTAATGGAGACATTTTCATTAGTTTCATTTTGCGTCCTCTCAGTGCACTCGTTATCATCTTTTCACTGGATTTTGCTCGCGCTCGGTCCCATAGCTCTCATGCTTTCATAACGTTAACTACAGATTTTTGAGCAGTCCATGTTTGAGCTCTCCAGCTGAGCTCTCTGTCGAGAAAGCAATAGTTTTGAGGCAAACCGCTCAAGCCATTGATAAAGCTGCCATGCCATTGCGTGGGCACTATGAAATAAAACGCTTTCATTCATTTATTACATGGACTCTCCGTACACGCAAGGTGGTCTCTCGCTCGCTTTCCCTCTCTGGCGAGTGCGTGCAGCCGTGTGTGAACGCGCGATACGCGGTTTGGAGCACAACCTCTGTCTCGTATGCACGCTCGCTCTAGATTCCGGGAGATTTTAACTAATTTGCGGTAATACAAGCTAATCACGACATGAGTAGCTCAACAGGTAGAAAGATAAACTCGTCTTTCAGGCATTTGACCGACCGAGCTTCAGCGTGAGAAATCAGGGGTGTGTGAGCGCCTGAAACCAATCAAATGCGGATGTCGTATGACGGCCAATGCGTGAGGCAGCTTGTACCAGGAACACTTTTAGGTTGTGTTTATATATTTTAAACCACTGAATCGCTATAAAATCGTGATTAATTCGATTCTTAGCCTTTTAAATCGATTATTCACGTAAATAAACGATTCACAATTCAAAATACATGTTTCAGGATCGATGCATATGCATCGCCAGGATTTATAATCGATGCATCGAGAAAACGAGTGAATCGTTACACCCCTAGTTTTTAGAGATAAAACTCTTTACATTCGATAATCATGAAAACAAATCTCAGAGAACAGTTGACTATGTACCAATGTGTAATTAGACCAAAGGTTCATTTCGCGCCGGAGTTACTATAGGCCTATAGCGAATCTACCTTTTCTGGCAAAGGTCTTCGAACAGGTTGTGTTTGGTCAGTTACAGAAATATCAGTCCACAAACAATCTTTTAGAACGTGAAATCTCGACATATTTTAGTCTCGTGAGATCTAGGGCTGGTCCAAATACCATTTTTTGAGCTTCGAAGCTTCAGTAGTAATGAACATCGAATATTCGAAGCTTCGGAATCTCTATATGGTGCAACGACAGGCGAGACGCGACACATTCAGAATTAATAAACTTTTAATAAACTACAGAACAGCGTGAGCGGCGCGCCTCACACGAGCAGAACGTATGCTCCGAGAAAGGACACTGCAAAACACACACACGCACACACACGTCTGTTAACTTATAACTGACTAACAAATAACTGACAAAGTAGGGTAGATGCTCCGAGAACGGACACTGATTTATTAGGGCTGGGTATTGACACAAATTTCACAATTCAATTCGATTTCGACTCACAAGCTTGCAATTTGATTCGATTCAGATTCGATTCGATATTGATTATTTTGGATATCAGTTACAATAAATGGCAAATTTTCTCAAGGAAATCAAATCTCTCAACTAATGCTGTAAACTATGAGAGTCTAGTTGTAGCCTACTAGGCTTCATTAGCCTAATATGAAGGTAATAATTAACTGTTTTGTAACTACACAAACACTTAGTTAAATTACACTTTTATCTATTTTTATAATAAGAAGATTATATGAAATATAAACACTTAAATGGTGGCTGTCATAAAAACTTGCCAGATTTATTCAAAAATGCATTAAATATTGAAGAACATTAAGATTATAATGCATATGTAATATGGTGTATAAATTTAGCAAAATGCTCCTCTCTAGAGTTATTTTTTCTAGCTGACTAACGAGTTTATGTGGGTTTTCTGAGGTAAATATATGATGATACACGACATTGATTACAAGCTGTTTAACTGACGTCTTTCCACGGTTGAAACGCCGATTGAGCGAAACAATGTGACATGATACGGATTTCGATAAGTTGTACTCTATCTTTTAACACACTTTCAGATGCTCATTCATGTTTATTTCGCGCTGTAACTGGTATTATTAAAGGGTTAGTTCACCCAAAAATGAAAATTAAGTCATTAATTACTCACCCCCATGCTGTACCAACCCCGTAAGACCTTCGTTCGTCTTCGGAACACAAATGAAGATATTTTTGATTAAATTTGAGAGCTGTATAACTACCACATTGGCTCCTAAAGGAACTGCCTCTTGACGGCCCAAAAAGTCAATGAAGAAAATGTTTAAATATCCCAAGTGACTACCGTGGCTCAACTATATGTTTATCAAGCGACGCAAATACTTTTTGTGCGCAAAAACAAACAAAAATAACGAGTTTATTCGACTATTTCTTTTCTTCCTTGTAGGCCAGAAACGAGACTTCCTTAGATTTCCACGACGCATGCGTGAGAATTGCGATCTGCTTACACCAGCTTACACCACTTCAGATCGCAGTTCTCGCGCATGCGTCGTGGAAATCTAAGGAAGTCTCGTTCTGGCCTACAAGGAAGAAAAGAAATAGTCGAATAAACTCGTTATTTTTGTTTGTTTTTGCTCACAAAAAGTATTCGCGTCGCTTGATAAACATATAGTTGAGCCACGGTAGTCACTTGGGATATTTAAACATTTTCTTCATTGACTTTCTGGGCCGTCAAGAGGCAGTCCCTTAAGAGCCAATGTGGTAGTTATACAGCTTTCAAATTTAATCAAAAATATCTTCATTTGTGTTCCGAAGACGAACGAAGGTCTTACGGGGTTGGTACAGCATGGGGGTGAGTAATTAATGACTTAATTTTCATTTTTGGGTGAACTAACCCTTTAAGCCGGAAGAGAGATCAGCGCTGCTGCTTCTCTTGAGCTGTGCCAGAGCAATCTCACGCCACAGTGCCAAAACGTTATTCATGTTTTTGAATTTCTATAGAAAATGGACGTAATTTGAAAATTGAGACTTTGTTTCATATCAATAGTAATAAAGGACAAAGATTATTGCGATTCTTTGGATGCGCGCAGCCACAATACAATGTTCCATTCATTCAAATGAAACAGGATGACTAATCGATTCTTGAGATTTAAGAATCGATATCGGTTCGTAAAAATGAGAATCGATTAATATCGAGAAACCGATATTTATTACCCAGCCCTATGCTTTAGTGATATAAAATACATACACAGGCCGCCTCCATCAATTTTTCGTGCCGCCTCCAGCTCTAGACAAAACTCAAACAAATGCTCAGATACCTTTTTCCCATCGTAACCGTTCTGTTGCGGCTTCCCGTGTACATTCTCAAACCATATAATTTGCCAATAAAGATGTGGGGATCTGAATAAAGAAGCGGCGCGCCTCAAGCAAGCAGAGATTACATGCTCCATTTGTGTTATAAAACACACATAAACTCAGTTTTTTTTAACTTAAGCAATATTTTTAATAAGGTATAGTCTTCTCACTAACAAAGTAGGGTAGATTTAAATGAATAAAAACTAAATTTAAATGAATAAAAACGAAATTAAAAAAAAAAAATTATTTACATGAATAAAAACAAAAAACTTAAAATAAATGAAAACGAATGACTTATAGAAAAACGGAATTAAAAAAACAAAATTGTGACGTGAGGTCCCAGTAAAATCTCAAAGTCTTACAGTAGATTCATTTAGATTGAAAATAACGGATAAAAAGGATATTATATTTTGTTTCTATTATTCTATTTTCCACAATGTCAAAGCAATGCAGCTTAACCCAAAATACATGCATGCACTTCTGTCCATACAAACTCCGCTGTTTTCTCCTCTGTTCTGCGCTCTAGCTAGAGAAAACTCCCATTGCAGGAACACTTTTAGTAGTACAAGAAGAAGGAAATATATTTATTAAATAGCCATAACGGAGTTTTATGTTAAGTATTATATTTCACTAGATTTTATACTGTAAAACATTTTCAAGCGCGAATGAGAACCGTTTCGAGTGGGATGCCAGGTGTGAAAAAAAAAAAAAATTATTCGAATGTCACATTTTCAAATCGAATACCACCCCACTGAATGAATATTCAAATATTCTGGTCCAGCCCTAGTGAGATCTCATGGCACGAGATCTCGTCTCACCCCTTGTTATAGGCAAGCTTTATTTTAAACAATGACCTTAAAAACAACTTTTTTTAACACAATATACTTCACTTATAATTTTTTAGTACATATGGGCCACAAGAGAAATATTAATGAAAGTTACCGCTAAATACCATAATCAGCATATGTTTAAGTAGATTCATCTCTTGTCTCTGAGAGAATATGCGCTGTTAATGCAGCATATAGTTTGAGACTTTTTTACCGGCATAACTCTCACATAGAATTTACACATTGCTTGAATGATATCCACTGGCTTTTGTAATATAATATTTCCAATATTGAGACATGACATTTTTCTTTATCATCAACTTTATCTTTTTAGCTCGCAAAATATGATGGAAAATTATTTACATTTTGTGCGTGTCATTTCCTGTGATAATAAAACTAAATAATCAAATATATTAATAAATAAAAAAGTAAATTAAGGATAGAATAAATAAGCACATAAATAACCCCAACCCCTACGCCTCCCCAACCGCAATGCACAATAATATTACTTATCGGTGATCTCACACACTAGGATGAATTGACTATGAGTGTGTATATGTGTATGTGTGCCCGCATGGCAGAAGTGAGCGTGCAAACTTACGCAATGCTTTCTGTCCTTCGCTAGCGTAGTACTCATACATGCCACATTGCACTAGAGTATGATAGTGCGGCAGATACTCGATCCGCTCTTGAATCGCCATAGGCAGCTCCTGATTCACAGACTTCAACAGTTGCAAGGTTTTCCCATCAACCAACTCCTCTGTTACAACAAAACACAAACAAATTCATATCAGTACATGAAAAAGTCATTTTTAAAAACCAACTATTTTTACATTGTTATATGAAAAACTGTAAACAACTAAATTAACTTTATTTATTATTAAATATTTCAGTTTTGCAAAACATTTTTGAAAAATATACACTCTCTCTCTCTCTCTCTCTCTCTCTCTCTCTCTCTCTCTATATATATATATATATATATATATATATACGTGTATTTACCTTTTACATGTTTTAAATAAAACAAAAACTACGCAGAAAAACAGTAAACAAAATGAAAATAAGTAAAATACAATATTTAATTTAAAACCTTAATGTTTTCTAGACTTAAATCAGATATTTTCTTGACTTTTTTACAGTTTTGAAATATGAAATGATGTAAAAATGAAAGTAATATAATATTTATTTAAAAACTTTCAAGGTTTACAATACAATGTAAACACAATACTTTTTTTTACTGTTGACAAGAAAAAATATAAAACTGCAACCTCTAAAATGACAACAGGTAAGAAAATAAATGTTATGTTAGCTTTCAGAGCTCTTACTGTACAGTTGTTCGTCAATCTCTTTTCGGTCCGTCGTGCTTATAACGAAAGTCTCGTTTGTCGACAGTGAAAACTCCTAAAATGAAAAGAAAAACAAGGTTTATGACAAAGATGTCACGCTGTGTGCAGGTTATTTACCCTGGTAAACAGCTGTTTTACCATAGACAGTAAAAGAAAGAGTTGTACCCGTCTCAGAGCCTGCAGAAAGCCATTGTAATCCATGTTCGCTATGTCTATCGTCCTCCCCGTCGCTGCGCTGCTCTCCGGGCGACAGTCATAAACACAAACCGATTTTGATGTCTTCTTCCCCCGGTCTCTCTCCGCTCCGGCCTCGGTCATGTTCGTCTCGTCACACATACTGCGTAGCCAGCAACCTCTGATATAGAAACAACTAGAAATTCATCACTTCGTCACTGACATGTTTATCTTGAGGTTTAGATTTGTTCTGTCGTTCACCAGGCTAAAATATATGCTAATATTAACGTGTAACGAGGTATTTAGATGGGGGGCATAAACTTAAAGATTTCGCGCCAGGAACATCACCCAAATTCCTAGTTCGTAATGCAGCATCCTTCGTTACTTCTTCTTTAATATTAAATGGCGACTAGCAAAACGCTTTTGATACATGACCGCCGCCTACCGGGATGGAGTGTGAAGAAGAAAAATACAAATAAAAAGAAGAATGTTATTATTACATTATTATTATTATTATTATTATTATTATTATTATGCAAACATTTATAACGACAAAAATTATTCTTAATTACTAGTTACTTATAATTTTATAACTTAAGTATAAAGTTGTTAATATTTTGTATGTCCAATACAAGATAAGATTGTTCGAAGATGCTCTTGAAAACCATAGTAAACAACCTCTTATAAAATAGAATTCAGCATCCAATGTGTCTTAAATTTAAATGTAAGATGAATTTATTGGGTTGTTTCAAAAATAGTATGGTTGACCATTTGTGGACTTGTCCACTCGTCTTGAGGATTGGCCACGGATTCACTTGGGGAGTTGCCTAAAATCATCCTTTGAAAGTTAAATTTTAAAAGTCATAATTATGGCATAATTGTTTTAATTATGTCTTTAAAAGTCCAGATTATGACATTCAAGGTCAAAATTATTGACACTTAGTGTCGTCATAATTTTGACCTCTAATTTAATTTTAAAATGCGTGTCATGACTCATAATTTCGGCATGTCGTAACTTAGACTTTTTAATCTAATAATTATGACTTAATATATCATACTTTTCATGTCATAAGTATTACTTTGTATATAATAACTGAGATTTACAAAATCATGATTTTCCCTCACTTGTGTGTGGCTTGACGTTGATTGATTCTCCACACTAGTCCAGTGGGTGGCAGTAATGCACCAAAAGCAAGCTTGCTAACCGCTAATAAACATTAAAGGAAGCAGCAGCAGCAGGCGCAGTAGCATTTATTTATCCTGAAATGAGATGAAAACTTTTATATATATATATAGTATATGAATGAAACCGTTTGAATAATTTCGACAGTCTTTATACTACTGTTGTGTAAATGTCTATTGTGTGTGGTAACTCCTGGGGCTGGCTGTTGGACTCCTGCACTCACATAGATGAGGGTTTGCAGCGCTGTGTTTGTTATAATAGTGCTGGGCTTGAAAAGCCGACATACTTCAAAAACTGTTTCAAGAGGGAATATTTTAATATATTGAAGCCCCACGTTCAAATTCGACACAACATAGGTATCTCGACAAACGGTATTCACACACACAATGCAGAAAATAGCAATGGTGATGGACTTGCAAAGATTGATCTTCATACACGAAAGGTATGCAACGGAAAAAGCGAGACAGCATATATTGTTGCTGTTATTATGTTAGTTGATATACTGTGCTTGATTATAAGGTCTTTGGAGATTGCTACATGACTCTGAACAGTTTGTTTTTTATTTGCAGAAACGAAAAAGAAAGCAGCGTGATCTCAATACAGGGGAGTTAGATGCCCATATTTATCATGGAAAGGTGACATGCTTTGTTTATTCATTAAATACCCCGTGTCAACAAAACTTAAAAAGAATCTGTACAGATTTTTATTGTATTTTCATAACAATGTCATCATTTGGAACTAATTCTACAGTTCTAATTCTTGGAACTTTATTCTTTGTAACAAATTGGATCAAATTTGGCAACCTTGTTTCATTATTATATATTTTGCAAGATTTCTTTTGGATGTTGTCTAATATTTTCAGTTAAACGCACAGCTGAAGTAGTTTGCAGGCAGGTCTTGAACACATTACAGCTCCATATCATTTTGCTAAATTATTTCAAAGGTCTTGACAGCAAAGTAACCACACTCACAACAAGACTCACCTAGCAAATAAATATATAGTAGACAATAAGATCAAAATTACAAATTATTTCCAAGTTTTTTGCCACAAAAGTATATTTTATTATGTACAGAAACTGTACGAACGAAGATCTATGTAATGAAATCTGGAGGCTTTTTGTCTCTCCATTGACAACTATGCAACTGCCACTTCCATGCCTCATTGGCATCATTAAAGTAATCCATGTAACCAAAGTGGTTTAACCTCGGATTTATGCAGTGATGTGAGTGATTCGAATGTTGGAGATTCATATTTGCAAATAAAGTGCTAAATTATGTTTTTCCGTGCAAACAAAGCACTCACGTCACTTCATAAAACAGGTTAAACCACTGGAGTTACACAGATTACTTTAATGATGTGTTTACTACCTTTCTGGGGCTTGAAAGTGGTAGTTAATGAAACTTTGTGTTCCAAAGATGAACGAAAGTCTTATGGGTTTGGAATGGCATTAGGGTGTGTAATTAATGACAGATTTCTTTTTTTGGATGAGCTTTCAGAATTTCATTCTACCTCACTTACTCTCATAACCAACTGCATTAATGACCAAAAAATTGACTTTTTGAAACTAACATTTAAATGATATTTGATTCCTTGCTCGTATTAACCACCTCATCAGGTCCTCGTTTTTTCATCTTTGGCATATTGCTTGTCTTGTTTTATAAATGTTGTAAACCTTTCATGTACTCAGTGCATACTAAAATGGATCCTTTCGGACTGATTCCAAATTATGTTAGAAATTCCAATTGAATCCCATCAGGATTTGTTTTTTGCTTGCCATTCCTGCATACAGATTTCCTCTTACACTCACTATTTTTGTGCATGTGCTGTTTTGATTTTTTGTCTCCTCAGGTCAGGTCAGTGGTTCTGGAGGGCTCTCAGGCTCTTCTGGAAGCTGGACGTCAGTGTGGATACTTGACCGAAGACCTGATCACACCACCCTCTGAATCCCTGCCAACACACGAGTGCCAGCTTGCTGCCTTATGTGACATGGCCAAACAGCTCCCGTTAACAGACGAGTCTGTGGCACCAGTGCAGACGCTGAACGCAGATGGTCTGGATCCACCACTTGACCTATTCTCATCCATCACAGAAAACCCATTCGACTGTGCTTATGAGGTCACGTTGATGAGGGAGAAGTATCTATTGCCCCCCCGCAGCCGATTCCTGTTGTCTGACATCACACATATGCATCCACTTGTCAACAGTGAGTTTTTATTTACTATTCTGTTACATAATAGAGTATTTAGTATTTTATGTAGAGCAGCTAAATGGCTCAAAGCTTTTAAGAAAAGTGTTATTTTAATCATATTTATATACTATTAAAGTATTTATTAATATTTTGAATTAGTCTTTATTTTTATGTTATGTAAAATAAGGTTCCATTGGTTAACATTAGTGGTTGACTAAAAGTGGTTAACATTAACAAAAAATAAATAAAGCATTTTTTTTAATCTTAGGTAATATTACATTTAACCTTTACTAATACAGTATATTGTGGACCTGAGCTAACATGAACTAACAAACAGTTGTATTTTCATAAACTCACATAAACAAAGATGATCAAATACTGTAACAACTGTATTCTTTTAATTCTAGTTAATGCATTATCCAGAGTTAACTAATGGAAACTTATTGTGAAGTGTTACCAATTTTAGTTTGTTTTAGTCATTTTATTATGCTGCTTTAAATGCTTCCAATTTCGTATCATTTTGTTTAGTGAGTTTTGCATATTGCGACATTTTGACTACAGGTGGAGACAAGTTTGACCTTATAATCCTTGATCCGCCATGGGAAAACAAATCTGTCAAAAGAAGCAACAGGTAACGTGACTCCACATAGACATCCATGCATACTTGTTCATGTGGATATAAAGTGATTCATTCTCTACCTGCAATAAGAAACTGCTCTGGCCTGAAATCATATCATGGTATGATTGACAGATACAGCTCTCTGCCATCTTCTCAGCTCAAGCAGCTTCCTGTGCCAGCACTGGCTGCTCCAGAATGTTTGGTGGTTACGTGGGTAACTAACCGGGCAAAGCATCTGCGTTTCGTCAAAGAGGAGCTCTACCCATACTGGGCAGTTGAAGTGCTAGCAGAGTGGCTCTGGGTCAAGGTACACGCTAAAACACTAATTAGGAGGAAGAAACACCATTAACCCTAAAATGCTACTCCTCACTTACTGTATGATACCCTGAGGTCAAAAGAGACTGAAGACAATAAGCATATTTAAAGGGATAGTTCACTTTGAAATTAATTTTTTTTGAAATTGTCTTTGTTTCCACAGTATTTTTAGATGAACCGGTGTTGTCTGTCAGTCATATAATGCAGGTCTATGGTCACCACCTCAAAGAGCATGCACAGAGAAGTCCAAATTAAACATGATTTAATGACTCGTAAATTTAAGTACACATTGAATGGCCTAAGACACGAAACGAGTGGTTTGTGTGAGAAAACGAACAGTATTTATATAGATTTTACCTCTTGTAACCACAGCCACGTCCAAGTGATCTGAGGGCATGGGCGCTCTGTGGTCTCTTGTTGTTCCAAACTTTTATCACGTTTGTTCATCTTCAAAACATTGAAAGTTCATTCAAAATGGTGACGCTTCAAAATGGTTCATAAAGCGATTGAGAGGTTTAATCTGAGTCTTCTGAAGTAACTAATGGGTTTTCATAAAGTAACAACAAAATTTAAAGGAGTAGTTCACTTTTGAAAACACTTTTGCTGATAATTTACTCACCGCCATGTTATCCAAGATGTCCATGTCTTTCTTTCTTTCTTTTCTTCGAAAAGAAATTAAGGTTTTTGATGAAAAAAATTCCAGCATTTTTCTCCATTTAATGCACTTCAGTGGGAACCAAACGGTTCAAAGTCCAAAAGACAGTTTCAGTGCAAACTGCAAACTGTTCAAAGGGCTTTAAACGATTCCAGACGATGAATAAGGATCTTATCAAGCAAAAAGATCGCTCATTTAATAAATAAATAACAAAGTTTAAGTTTTATAAGCTCAAATGCTTGCCTTGCTCTGTTCTGTGATGCGCGTTCGTGACTCTCCTGTTCGAACTCGTTCATCAAAATGAACGAATCTTTTTCCGAGTCATTTAGTTCATTCACCGAACTAAACGAACGAATTGACTCGGAAAAAGATTTGTTCATTTTGATGAACAGGAGAGTCACAAACGCTCATCACAGAACAGA